GTCGTTCAGAATCCTACTTGCCCTTGTTTCCATTACTTTTTTATGAACTTGCTCTAGAATCCTACTCCATCTTGTTTTTTTTTAATTTTTTATGTTCTTGTTTGTGTTGATTTTTTTATAATATTTGTAATAATATTTCTTCAGATAGTATCCATTGCCATTCTGGTCACGTGAATAGTTAATTCTATATACTGATCAATGTTTTAGTTGTGAAAGCTGCCACAATTATATCTATTGGCTGTGCTACCCATCTAATTCCACTTTGAGCCTATCTTTTCCAATTTCTGATTTTATTTGCCATCATTGTTAATTCTCCTTGATTATTTATTTATTTATGTATATTATAATCTTTATTTATATGCATATTTTAAATCTATTCATTCATTTATTTTTCCCTTTCCTTTCTTTTCTGATTTTCTGGGTGCCAGCAGCTCTTGCTGGTAGTCCTTCAGGATGCTTCCTCTGCTCTCTCTGTACTATGTTAGACTACTTACTTTATGCATCTTGTAAAATTATAATTAAATTAAATAGTAGTCTTGACATGAGTCCTTGTTCAAGAAGGAGTGAGAGTATCCATCTTCCTTGCAATCCTGTCCTGTGTTGTTCCTGTTGTCAAGTTCATGATCATTGTTTTAATAACATTATTGTTTGTAATCTTTAAAAATACAATTTATTAATTATTTTATTTAAATAAAACAATGATATCTAAGATTAAATAACTTCTCTTAGCTAGAACTAGAAGCCTGGAACCTCCACTAAGTATTGCAGTTGATCCAAGCATAGCTAGATACGAGCTAGATATATAAAAAAATTGCTTGCATTTCCCAGTTCTGAGATCTGAGCATGCGCGACCACACCCAAATTTTGGAGCACATGTTTCTTTTAATAACAAAATGGCGGAATGAGGTAAGTTTTGACTGATGCTACAGTCATAGTGTCACTTCTTCCTTTCTTGGAGAATGAGGTGATGGGACATGGACCTGCGCATAGACTGTTGGAGTAGAATGGTGTAAGAATTAGCCTTCTAGCACCAGCCAATATTGAGATACACACCGACAACTGGATTGACAGGAGATGATGATGAAGACGACTGAACAAAACGGCCGTTTTGCCGATTTTTGACTTTCCTCTTAGACAAGGTGTAGAGCCACGCTAGTGGTACCTATGGAGTCCTCTGGTCAAGATAAGGTCCTCTGAGAAGTCTGGTAAGCATAGGAGCTTGTTTTCCCGGTATAGCAAGGCTGCAAAAGTTGTGGCAGCCATATTGTTTTGGGGTGA